ATCAATATTACCTCCAAAGCTGAGTCGTTACGGTTGATCATTCAGGCATTACTTTGCTCATTGAGTCTTTGTTGTTGTTGGTAAATGATCACTTCATATTATGCATTTTTCATTAATTAGTTTAGGTTGATTCCTGAAGAATTGTAATGGCAAAACAAATCTATCAACCCTCTGAACTCGACCATGTCTGTCATTCGATCTTAATGCTAAAGACAATGGATTTTTACCATAATTGATTCACAAGTCACCAGTTTCATATCTCATAGTGAATTCATCATGAAACACAAAATGATGGTGCATAAAAAATCATATACAATATCTAGTCATACATATAAGCACATTCATCATACGTGATAAAATAATTAAATAAACTTACAAACTTTCAACCATTTCTGAAGTTGCTTTATTTATGAGCATTCAATCTTTTCATAGATGCCTTTTTTTTCACACATCCCATCAAGAAACTTCGATTCCAAAGCTAGATAATTTTTGAAAAAAAGTATCATTATAATTCCTCAATTTATGTTTACATGTTCATAAATATTCATATACGAGTATAAAACAAGCATTTGAATAATTACAAGATCATATTTGACATTTACATAACCTTTTTTTTGATGTCTGATGGTGATGTAATTGTTTAGCCTCAATTTTTTTTTATTGTTCTTTTATTTCTAGAAAAAAAGAATAAGATAAATCACATATTAAGATATTGAATATATTAAACAAAATATATAAACAATTAACAAACTAGGTATGCATATCGAGAATTCATTTGATAGATGATTTTGAACAAATTGTAACCATTTTTCATAACTAATAACATCGGTATATGTTGTTGGAGGATCAACCAACAATTCAAAATTATTAGCAAGCAGTAAATATATCAAGTTGTCAATTTGCTCTTAAAGTATTTGATGCTTTCTTAGCTGATTACAACATAAGTTTTTTATAATCAGTTGGGACATTAAATAGTTTCTAAAAAATTGAATACATTAAATTCAACACAATAATTCAATTTAATTAACAATTAACGAAAATTTGGATATTATTGAATAAACATACCACAATCGAATTTCATATAATATCATTTTTATCATCAAGAACCATCTGCCAAATAAGGTAGGTAATAGATATACTACGCGGACAATCGCTCCAATGTGGTTAGCCAACTTTTTACCTTCAATTAACATAGACTGCCCATCTTGATTAAACTCGACGTGAATTTTCGTCATAATCCTTTTAATTTGTTTAGCATGTCCCATTGATTTTTTTTTTCACAACAAGTGTGTCTTCTTTATGTTCAGTAGAAGGAGACATATGTTCTTTGAATGTTAGAATACCTATGATTTTGATAAAAATTATATGAAATACACCAGTTATCTTTTTATATGTCCCATATAGTAAAGATGACTAATATCCACTATAGTAAATAAATCAATATATATAAATCATAACAAAACCAATAATATTTTTCAAGGTACAAGCCATGTGTTTCATCATATCATAAAAGTTTCATGCAAAACAAATGAGGAAAAATATAACAACTGTTTTCCATAAAACCATTTGGCAAACCACAATACTCTTACCAAACATAAAAAAAAATACCATACATGCAATGTATGGAGGTTGTTAGACATTAGTGATAGTGGTAAAAGTTTATAAAAATAAAAACATAAATATATATAGTAAGGAAGAAAAAAATTGACATAGATAGATGAATAAACATTGTACAAAAAGGATTAAATTCACACATATTTGGTAAAAATTATGTACGATGGTGTTAAGTGATTCAAGGTTGACAGTGACAAAGGAGATGCAGAAACAAAATGCCAAGTGAATGGGTTGATGGGTTTAGGAAAATACATGCGTTGTAGCTTTTATTGTTCAACTTTATTAGCCGTTTGATTTTTCAAGGTTCAAGAATGGGAATCAATCTTTTAAAATGATCAATTAAGGCATTTGTCTTTACAAACACCTTAATTGATCAATTTTTAAAATTATATTTTAGATCAATTAAGGTGTTTGTGTACATAAATGCTTTAATTGATCCTAAATATAATTTTAATTTAGATCAATTAAGGTGTTTCTAGACATCAATGCCTTAATTGATTAGTTTTATAATTTAAAAGTTACTCAATTAGGGCGTTTATGTACAAAAATACCTTAATTAATCTAAATTAAAAATTATATTTTAAATCAATTAAGGCGTTTCTATGCACAAACACTTTAATTTATCAATTATATAATTTAATTGATTATCAATTAAATTTTTTTATACATAAATACCTTAATTGATCAATTATATAATTTTTAAAATAAGTCAATTAAGGCGTTTCTGTACACAAACGCTTTAATTGATCAATTATATAAATTTTAAAATAGATAAATTAAGGTGTTTATGTACACAAATACCTTAATTGATTAGTTTTATAATTTAATTGATGTACAATTAAGGCGTTTGTGTATAGAAATGCCACAAATGTCTTAATTGATCAATTATATCATTTTTAAAATAGATCAATTAAGGCGTTTATGTAGAAAAACGCCTTAATTGATCATTTTTCTAAAGAAAATTTACCCTATCAATTAAGGCATTCATGTTTACAAATGCCCTAATTGATGATGTTTTATATATTAAAACAACAATTTATTAAAATATTTGTTTTCTTTTGCTGCTAAAGGTATTATTTGTTGTTTGAGTATTTATTATTAATAAAAAATAAAAAATTATCATCATATATATCAAGAAGATTATGGTAATTATATAAGAATTAATATACATGGATTCCTCCCAACTAAACGAGTAAATCTGAATATGAGATGTCCTAAAAATGAAAGAAAATCCTAGATATTGTAACTTTCTTGGGGATCATTCTTTTCTCCGAAATTCAGGATTTCACAAACCAAATGCCCTTAAAAGGTTTTCAGAATCCTTTAAGACTTTTCGAAAATCCATTTTCGAAAGTTTTGAATTGCACCAAAACATTTCAATATGAATTTTATGAAACTAAACATGAAATCAAGCGGAAAAGTAAAAAGAACAAACGATTTACCTCTAATTTTATGCTTTTTTTTTTTTTTACTTTAAATGGATGAAAATTTTAAATGCTTTTTTACTTTTAAGAACTTTAAAGGCTAAATGCTCAAATTAGGATTAAACATTTGGGTGGTTGCCAAATTTAAGACTAAACGTTTTAATTTGTACTAATAAGGATCAAATGTTATCAGGTTGGAGCAATGTAGGATTTTTTTCAATGGAAACTTAATTGTGAAACAAAAACATTGTTATTGTCTATGAAAAAATAAATTCGAGGTTAAGTTGGCTTTTAAGTTAGAAAATGGAACATGATATAGACATGGTAGGACCTATTTTTTTACTTAACTCTAGCTATCAGTTCTTTCTTTCTCTCTCTAAAAGAGTAATCAGATCTTTTTTTTCTTTTTAAAAATTCATTAACAGTTCATTCTCAAAACCCACATTTTTGTCTACATCTTTTCACCCTAATCCATGCATCTTTTCACCCAAATTCTACGTCCAAATATGCACTAAAAAAGTGCAACAAACCATAGATTGCAATGCTCTTCATTGTGATCCCAATGTCTATGAAGGATTAGAGTCCACAATTGCAATAACCAATTTAAAAGTAGAATGGTCTTCATAACAAATCATCAAGAATTATTAACAACTGCAACCCTTGAACAAACTTGCATATTTTTGCCTTCTTTTCTTGATCCTTGATTGAAAGGAGAGATGACTACACATTTTCTATCATCAAAATCAAATACTAAAATAAAAGAGCTAATAAAAGCCTAAAATCATCGTAGAAAAAGACATAATTGCAAAATTATATTTCTAAAAGAGCAATAAGTTCTTCCTTTCTCTTTCATAAAATTCATTCTTAACCTATCCTTAAAACCTGAATTCTCTTTTGCATCTTTTCACCCAAATTCATTCTCTGCACTTTTTGTTCTTCATGAATGTCAACAATCAATTTGTTGACTTTTTTGTTTGCCATGTGCACATGTGTCAATAAATATCTCTTTTTAAAGAAAACAATGAAAGGAAAAGTGAAAAAAATTGTTGTCTTATTAGAGAGCCATATGCAGGAAATATATATTAAAGAAAGCAATCTTCATTTATTATTATTGTAATTCACAATGCAAGTTTATGATGAACAAGCAAAAGCTTTAGTTTATTTTTTTTCATTATCTGATAAATTTCTCTAAAACTTTACCAATATACCTGATGTGATATGCGTTCTACTTTTGTAACTAGCTCATTAAAACTTCACATATTCTTCTTCAACATATGTATATCAAGTGTTTGATAATTTGGATAAGAGTTCTTGGCTTTTATGAACTTTTCTTTAAAACTCAACATATTATTCTTTAAATAATTAACACTTAGTGTTTAATGTTTTAGATATAAAAGTTTTTTATATAATTCATATCAGTGTTTTGGTTTTGTTTTAATTGAGATTTTGAAGTATGAGAAGAAACAGAAGGTGATGGAAGAGGGAGAAAATTAAAAAAATTAAAAAAATAGTAAAATAATTTTAAAACTTGATAAATAACATGTCATTTTAATATACTAATTTTAATGGCACGTGCATTTCATGGTCAATTTTTTGTTGAAAAAAGATTTACATTGTTATAAGTTGATAACGTTTAATTCTTATTTGTATAAATTAAAATGTTTAGTCTTGAATTGAATAACTATTTAAACGTTTAATCTCAAATTGAACATTTAGCCAACTTCAAATTATTTATTCTTTTTATTTTTTGTTTGATTTTATATTTAATTTCATGAAATTTTATGTTAAAATATTTTGATGTGTCTCAAAATTTTTAAGAAGATTTTTTAAAAATTTATTTTCAACATTTATTTGAAGAAAAAAAAATTAAATAATTTTAATTATAAAAAATTTAAAAAAAATTTGGGGTGTAAAGATAAGAATGCGAGGTGTAAATAGTCCCACTAAAAAGAAAGAAAAACACTAAATCATGTTTGGGGTAACATACCCTTATCTTAAAAAAATTCAATATTTTTAATTAGAAAATGTTCTTTTTGTCTCTACGCAGTTCCCCACTGATCAAAACCTCTAAATTGTAATATCAAATTATAATTGTTGTGATATGATATTTTTTAGTTTCTTAATTTAAGTAGTAGTAGTCATTAAATTTGTAATTTTTTTCATTTCTGTTGTAGTTATAGGAGACGAGACGGTTGGATAAAGATTAGGTGGTCGAGCTTGTTTTTTTAAAAAATTGTTTTATCCAATATTTTTCAATAATATTGTTTTGCTTTATTTATCTTGCTTAATTGAATGTATTTTTCTTTCGTTTTCCTACATTTTCTTTGATTAACGAACAAAATAAAACCTTTTTGAGAATTCTCTAAACCTAACCCTTCCTGTCTGGTCAAATAGTCACCGACATGCCAGCGGTGCTGGAAGAATTTGATCCAATAATCGGCGAACCCAAGATCGAATGGGCGGGTTCGTGTTCCGGTTCGGGTCACTCAAGCGGGTTCTTGTTCTGCGTTCATTCTCCGGATTCATCTCATCTAAGGATTTATGTCTCTGATTTCCGCGACATCACTTGGGAGTCGGTACTCTCTGTTTTGCAGCTTGAAGACATGGTTTTCTTCTTTTTATTTTACTTGGTTTGCTTTGATGGGCTTTTTTTTTTTTTTTAATTTTGTTGTTAATAATGGGTTAATGTGCAGAGGGACAGTGCTGGAATAGGCGGCTCTTTGTCTCACTTCATTCACTATCTGGTAGCCTCCATTAAGTCTGAAGATGTAAAGCTTCTTTTGGAAGCACTGCCCAACTCAATTGGTAACCAATCATATTCTTTTTAATTTTTTCTATTTTACAATCTGCAAAACTGCAGTGTTAATCTTTAGCTCTTGTAGCAGCTCAATATGAGTTTCTAGTTGCCCATATTAGCTATTTTAGATAAGGGATAAAAACCAAATTTGCCACTATGCTATGACTTAATGTTGGATTTTGCCTATGTATTTCAATTGTTTTGAATTTTTTCACCATATTTTTATTTGATTAATTTTTGAAAAAAAAATTAATATTTGTTTTACGAAATTTAAATAGGTTTTGGAGAAATAGAAGTTATGACATGGAATTTCATTGTCGTAAAAAATATACAAGTGCCAATTATTGATGCATCATTTTCTTAGTTGTATTTTTAATTGCCAAGTTTTTTTTTTTTTTACTACTAGTTCATCAAAAGAACCTAAGATAATGATCTGTGATCTTATACACAGTGTTCTGTTAATTTTTGTTAAAAAATCAACCAAAATAAGTGTGGTTGCAAAATTCAGCACAATTGAAGTAAAATGGTAAAATTCAACATTGAGCAGTAGTATAGTGGCAAATTTGATATTTATCCCTTTAAAACCCCTTTGAAAGCACGTACTACTGAGGTGAGAAGGGCTCCACATCATACTTGCCCTCGTAAACGTGTCCTATATAATTTTCATAAATTGAACTTCCCTTGTAAATGGGTTCTATATAATTTTCATATATTGAAACTCCAGTTGAGCCAAATTGACTCTTTGCTTGGGAGGATGAAGAAATTTATACTTAGAGGAGTGAAGTATTCTATTTTAATTTTTACTTCGTCTATGCTTTACCTTTCAAATGTAATCCGATTGGATTTAAGAAAAAAGAATTATAGTGCAAACAAAGTTCAATTATATTGATATTTGTTCTTTTTGTGCTTCAGATACTAAATCTGCAAAGTTAGTTGCTCAGAAATCAAAAGGGATGCCTCGGATTTCCTTTTCTCTCACAAAACTTACTGGTTCTGCTGCTTCTGATGCTATGGCTAATCTTTCACTGGAACTTTTTAAAGCATATAAAGGCTTGCAATATCTATTTATGCAAGGTCCTATTCCCTTTGCTCACTCTTGGAATTGCTTCTCATTTTCTCTTCTATCTTTTCTGTAAGCAAATTTATAGCAGTTTTTTTTTTTTTTTTTTTGTTGCTATATTGAGTTTTAATAATCCTAAAGTATTTGTTATAGTTTTGAGACATATTACGTAGACCTTTGGGAAAAAGAAAAAAAAAAAAAGAAATTGTTTAGTTAAAAAAAAAAGACCATTTGATGTTTAATTTGCATAACTTCTATCATCAGTTAATTTAAACGTATTGGCTAGGTGGTGAATTCATTTTTGTATCAGAAAGTGCCGTCTTTTCTTGTGTTGGACTTTGGCTTTAGTGTCATTGCTCAAAACATTGTTGCAGAAGAGTTTCTGATTTGGTGCTGCAAATTGATATCCACATCTAACCTGCGAGCTTCTTGAATTGTCTGGTTTTTAAGGGTTTATTAGTTTGGGGAATTAACTGTCAGGTTGATGTTGTAGACCTGTAATTAGGGGTTGTCACACTAGAGAATGTAGGAAGATGTTGGTGGTAGGAAAAGTTCTGTTTTCCCCCCCTCTAAATCCATTATTATGGCAACCAAGTAGGATATGCTGATTATATAAGTTGCCAAGATTACCATTATGGCATTGTTTGAAATGCCACCATATGAGGAAACCTTATCTATACGGTAAGTTCTCAATGGAGTTTTTTTTAAGTGAAATTGCCTCTTTCTATGCGCAGATTCCATACTGACAGCCACATATTTCTTCACATTGTGTCTATTTTAGATGAAGAAATTTTTACTGCGAAATCTTGGTTGTAAAAGCAGCTGGGTGTTTATTGTCAATTTTAAAAAGTGAAGTTTTGGGGATTTGAACCCCTTCAAAAGAGCAGCTAATAAGCCATGAAGCCAACTGACCTATTTGTTCTGTTTTATGCTCTTTATGTCTATGTATAAATCAGTTTTTCCTACTGACTTCCCCTGATTTACAAATATATACGAATTAAACCTAAATAAGAAAATTTTTATTAGTTACACATATATTTAATACTTACTAATTTACACACACACACATTGCATTGTTTGAACATCATGGTTTGACCTATGCTTGAAAGTTGAAACTCAGTTAGAGTTACAGGCCTCAGGGTTTTGTCTTGGACAGAGGTATATGTCTGAGACATGAATGTTACCTGTTTGACAAAAGTTTTTATTAATTTCAAGAATTTAAGTGTCTTGCACATAAAATTAAAAAATGTCCAACAATTTTTCACGTAATAATATGTTTAAAGTGAGGATTCTCCATAACGTAGACCTCATTAAGGTGAGTTTGAATGAGTGTTGGACAACAAATGCTTCATCTCTAAAGGCTTATATATTCCAACTAAACTCTTAAAATTTGCAAACATCTATAATATAATAATTTATGTTCTTTAACCTTTTTACACTCTCACATCTATTAGCAAGTGTATGCACATGATTTAAATTTTCTTAGGTAAATATGACTAGATAATGTATTGAGATATATTATTGTTTCTGATCAGTGACAAAGTTTGTTTTCTTTTCTAATCAAATTATTTTTACTTTTATTTTTTAAAAAAAGAGATGACTTCTTTTTTTGGTGGGGTGGTATCTCTCATTCGGGAATTAATTATTGTTTCCTTCTTATTCTTAGAACAAGAGCGCCGTTTACAGTTGACAGAAGTGATAGCAGCTGAAAGGGTATGCATACCTGTTTCTTGAATGCTCTTTTTTGAATATAATCGTTTTGTGGTTTTGCTTTACTTTGACTAAGATCGGGATATTTTGGGTTTCAAGTGCTTAACCATCTGGTAGCATAAGTGTTTTAAAGCTGGCTTATATTGCTATCTTTGTGCTCACGTACCACTGAAAGTATGATGGTATCACGTCTAGTTTAGCAAACATTCAAAGAATATATATGTATATATATATTTATGTATGTATATATATTTGACTTGTATGTCTCATATGTATATGTTTCTATTAATACTTTAAAGTTCATCAATATACTGCTACAATTACTGAAATTATTGTAAATTATCTTTCTATTTACCAGGAAAACAATGAAAGCATTCAGAGCCAACTGGAGCTAAATTCAAACAGGCACAAGTTACAAAAGACAATGAATTCCTTAGACAAAGCAGATGCTTCTGCTTCTGTAGTGACAAATGGCCAAAATTCCCCAGGTACACCATACATGTCATATTGATTTCTGCGATAAACTTTTATTATTTTATCAGGGTTCATTTGTTAACTTGCAGTGAACTTATTACAATATAATTTAGTTTGTTTTTGAAAATATTGAGAATATTTTTCTACAGATTCTGGCTAGTGGGTTTTTTATCAAAACAAAAAAAATTGAAAGAAACTGGATGGTAGGTTTGCAATCAAATTGGCTTCCAAATTTGAAGGAAGCTTATATAGTCAAATCAATAATTACCGAGATACTTTGTCAAAGAAATGTAATTGTGTACTGTAAAATTAGTAAAACCCGATTAATAAGGCTTCGATATTGTAGCAAAGTATTGATTAGAGACCAATGAATTTTATTGATTGTTCAAAGGGTGGAGGAGAGGGTGGGCATCTCTCACTTTCCTTCAGTTAATGGGCTTTTCTACTTTTTAAATCTTTGCAAGTTTGCCCTTTCTCGGAATCTATATGCTAAAATTATAGAAATAGTTTTGCTTTCTTAATTTCTGTTTCTGTTTTTTTCATTCCTAAGTTTGAGCTGTTATGAAATTGGTTTCACGAGTAACTGATTTTTTCCCAACCCTTTTGTCTCTTTTCCAACTGGACACAAGACAAAAAGGCAGTGCGGCATCCTGGCCCAACAAAAGTGGCTAAACGTTTTATACCAGCACATCACAGGTATTTTTCAGTATTTTTATTATGATACATAATACCATTGCATTTGTGGATACCAATGACTTAAAATTTGGTGTTGACAGGGCAAAAATAAGGGGTGTCGTTTTGCAGGATAGTGAAAATGACAAAAATAGCTAGAAGATAATCTTGTCTCATACAGCATATTTTATAATCCGACTAATATTGCCTTTTTCATTTACAATACCAAGGTAAAGTTTTTACATTTTAAGGAAAAGGAAGAAGCTTTTAAGTTTTAGGGCTGCTTGCTGTCTTGCTAGCCTCCTCCTGTATTTTGTGTACCAAATATATATATCAGTTATGTTACCATAAAAACTTGTGTTCTTGAAAAATGTAGATACTCTGCATCATTTCGTGCATTGGCTTGTACATATTAGTATCTTTTAATTTTTTGATCAGGTTTTGTTGTACTGGAAGACATGCATATTTGACCCATTAAAGATTTCAGTTTCCCGCATAGGAGATTTGGAAGTAGGAAAAGCTGTAAAAATAAGTCATAACATTGTTTTTCATTTTTTTTTTCCAGATATGATTTTGGGCTACACAACAAGGTAGTCCTCTCCTAATTTTGAAATCTGACCTTTCCATGTCAAGACTCAAACCTGAGGCCTTCAGTCTCAAATTTGTAGTTCTGACGGATGGGCTGTCCGATTGGGACTACTGACATTCTATTTAGGAGACATTTCCTCTGGTTAAAACTGTCTGCATGCATGTTCTGCTATCTCTATCTCTAGCAATAGCAGATTTGCTACAGCTTTATTCTCATTCAGATGAAATCTGCCTGTCTCTTGGCTTTGCTTTTCTTGAAAGGGAAGAACAGCCAGCAATGAGGCAAGGAACTTCTGTTAGTAGGTCTGCATGATCATTAACAGTTGTGCACAATGCGTTTTAGTATAACAAGCTAGGTATTAATATTGTGCAATTTATTCTGTTTTTTTATTTTTTATTTTTTATAACCTTTCTGATGCAACTTGCCTTTTCTTAACCACAAAAAGAGGCTCAATTTCTGCTATTCGGGTTCAAAATAAGTTGCATGTTATTTTCAGAAAAAAAGTTTTGCTATTAATGCTTCATGCTGTTATCGGCTATGCTTGCTATCGGTAGTTACAACCCTGATAAAACTAGAAAAAGAGAAAAAGAAATACCTGCTTGAGCTGTTGTTGCTGCTATCTTCTCTGTTTTTATGATTCCTTCGGTTGAAAATCCTTTCAATCCACCGTTGCTTATCTACCGGTTTCTCGGATCCCTCAAAAGATGGACTTGGGGAAACCTTGGAGCTATTTTCAGCTGTTGATTTCCTCTTGAAACTTAGAGAACTTGGAAAAAACATCTTTATTAAGAAATTATCAGCATCCATACTTCCAGTTCTGGATATCGGACCTGCCTTTCTTTTCTTCCGTTTCTTCGTCTTTTGCTTCTTTGTCAGAGTTTCTGTTTCGAAATGAATGCTTTTATCTTCAGAAGCAGCTTTAACTTTGACCTCCTCGCCAAGTTGCTTATCAACTATATCTTTCAAAGATAGCTCGTAGCTCGACTCCGGCATGTTACGAATCATCTCCATGAGTTCTTTTCTACCATCTTCGATTGCTTGTTTTCGCGTTGTAGGGGATAGATTACTGTAAAAATGGCTGTTTGAAAGCAGAGGAGAAGCATCCGTCACCCTTTTGGCTCCCCACAACGGCGAGGGGCAATCACTATAGCTTTCCCCAACACATGCTTTAACTTGAAACTCAATCTCGCAGTCAGCTGAGTTACTGAAGGTGTCGTAATACCAGGTTTTACGTGCGCTCCAGAAATCAAATTCAATATCTCCTGTTCCATCACAATTACTATGTATTTGGTAGGCTGGATTGAAGGAAGAAATTTGGTTTCCGGTGAGTCCGTGCCGGCGATCAAGCATGACTGTTAAGGACGGAGACAAGTAGGAGGCCTGAAGCCAGGGATACGAGTAGGAAGGCAAATATGTTTCAAAGTGCAAGCATGATTTTTTGTTGTCATTTTCTCTATAGAAGGTAGAGGGTGCCCAAAGTCATTGCCGTCCAAGAAGGGATAACAAATAAAGCTTTAAAATTTCCATTTTTCCTCCAAATGTCATCTTCAAGATGTTCAACCCCAATCTCGTCTAGAAGAAATGTACATTTTGACAACTTGAGCTTTTGATTTATTGGTGGTGGTCATGGACATTGATTACCCTTTTCACCGCAAAAGTCTAGGGTGGCATAAAATGGTTTCCGAAATGACAAAAAGGACAGGTTGGGCAAGATTAGTTTGCATGAATTTATGGTTAAAAAATGAATGATCAAGTGTTGGCTTGCAAATTTCCCAAGCTCGCCATGTTAGCTACCCTATGCCCTATTGCTACAAGAGTAAGTAGAGATCGTGTTTACTTTGATGCCATGTGAAATAACATGATCAGTATCTAATAAAGAAATAAATAATTTATAAACAAATATTATAATAAAATTAATAATTATAAAATTATATTAAAGAGTACAAATGTTTGAAATAAATTTAACAGGTATTTTTGGTGTAAAAAATATTATTAATTTAATTAACGAAAAAATGTTCTTTTTTATGGACAGTTAGATTTTAGATTTTATAAATAATCCAAAATTGGATGCTTTATCGTTTATCGATTTAAGGCAAAATTATCTGGTGACTCTTTCGGGAGCCAATTCATTCGGAAAAAAACAGACTTTCTTAGGCAAAAAACTCAATTGAGAATTTGTTTTATTGTTCTGTCCTTTGCAACTGGAAGAAATTTTTTTATATTCTTCTTACAATCGCTTTCAATTTTTGTTGTGTCACATGCATGGTCGATCGGATTCATGCTTTTGGAGCTCTGAATACTTTGAAATTTGTATTACATCTTTTGGCATCTTTGCTATATATTTTAGTGTCAAAGTTTTGTAAATTTTGGCCTCCAATATCCAGATAGTGGTATGGTTCACCAAAGGGAAGTCTTTACTCTTGACTGATATTCACTGTTTGCCCGTGCGGAAAAAGTTCAAATTCAAAGTAAGAGAAATTTTTGAGAGAGAATATTAAATTATTGGTCAGAATTTTATTTTTTATAATTTAATTCTTTAGTTTGATTCATAAAATTTAATTTTTAAAATTTTTAATAGTGTCAAAAAAAAAAAGTGATAGCCTTTGATCATAAACTTATCTTTCTTTGAGATTTTTTAATATTTCTTATAAAATATAAAATTTATCTCATTTTTTATTTCAATAATAATTTTTTACGATTTATTTATCCTTAAAAATTAATATAATTACATAATAAATTGAGATCTATTTCAACATGTAAAACTATATTTCTAACCATATTATTGGATAAATATACATTCTTAGCCACATTGTATATTCGACAATAATCATATGTATTTGAATTTTTAAAAATTAAAATATTTGTTTTCAACTTACAGTTTAAAAAAAAATAATGTTTTTGAATCATAAACAAAGTTGATCTTATATAAAATAAAATTTTAGTAAATAAAAAATTTTCATTTATATAATGTTGTTATGTTAGAAACGTAATAATATATTATAGTATGTTTTGAAAAAAAATTAATTATAATAAAAATAACATTTAAAAAAACGTAGTAAATTGTTTTAAAATTAGGATTTTGAAAATTTTTATAGTTTTAGAAATACTATATTTTTAACATATGAAACATAGCTAATCATAAAAAATAATAACAAAATAAATTTTATATTTTTAATATCAACAATGGTTTTTAGTATGAAATTGTAGTAATTGATAAAATGGAACCTTTTTTTTATATAAAAATGTAATTATTATTGGTAGAGTCAGTATAATACAATATTTATTTTGCTTTTAACTACGTTTTATATATAAAAAATGCAATAATTAATAAAACTAAATTATAATTTATATTTCTCTATATCAATGATTATGTTTTTTATTATAAAAATATAATCATTGATAAACTGTAGTAATTGATCGCCTAAAATCGATAATATTTTTAAGATAGAAAAAACAATTTTTGTTGAAAATATGAAAAAAATTTTTTCTAAAATTCAACAAGGATTATGTTTCTAAAATAAAAAATGCAGTCATTGTTGAAAAAAAGAAAAAAAATATTTTCTAGAATTCAACAAAAACGATATTTCTAAGATAAAAAACATAATTTTTATTGAAAAAATGACTTTTTAAAAATAAAAATATAATTTTTGTTAAAAATATAAAAAAATATTTCTTAGATTTCAATAAAGATAGTGTTTTTAAAATAAAAAATGCAGTATTTATTGAAAAAAATGATATTTTAAAATAAAAACGCAAGCTTTGTTGAAAATATGAAAAAAGTATACTTTTTAGAATTTAATAAAAATAGTGTTTCTAAAATAAAAATGCAATAGTTGTTAAAAATATGAAAAAAAATAAAACATAAAATATCTTTATTTAATATTATTACATATAAAATCTAAAATACATTTACTTAACATTATTACACATAAAATTTATTACACATCCATATATTTTCTTTGCGTAAGAATTATAACGTTTTACGTATCAAATTATAAATATCACATATTATTCACATGTTATAAAATACAATATAATAAAAACTTTAAAGTAATCTTACATTTTTGTAAACTATATATAAAAATTTTACATTCTTTAAGTTAATAAAAATCATAAAAATCACATATTTTCTTTTAATATCACTTTCTTTCTAAATTATTTTTTTTTCTTAAAATTTAAGAATCCGGAAACCAACATCTTTGAATGCAAACCTAATTTTAGAGACCAATAAACCATGAAAAAAAATAAACAAGTAGGTCTGCCATTTTATCCATTTTTTATGAAGTTCACGGAGTTAGATATTTGGGCAAGCTGTAGCTAGCTTTTCCTATTGTAGCTAGGTTGGACCTGACCTCCCCATTTGAACGAAGCAGAGGTACCCACCACCCATCTCAAGAGAGGTAGTTAGAGGCTATGAAAATTTTGAATACAACAGTAAAAAAGCTTGGATATCTTAAAAACAGTTTTGAATATCTTATTATTGCTTTTATATTTTAATATTTGATATCGTTAAAAATTAAAAATTTTTAATTTAAAAGAAAAATATTAATTTATTAATAGATTATGCGTATATATAACTGTTGGCATAATATTTATTATTATTTTTCAAAGAAAATACTATCACTTCCCAAGTCTCAACACTTTTATTCCAATTAATTGTCTTATTGATTTCATTTAAGATTTAGCCGCCGTTTGGCTGCCCATTGGTCTCCAGCAGGGTGTAGTTGAGGTTCTCAATCTCACTGGTAACTGGTATGACATACCACTATAGTGGTAGTTAGAGATGGCAATAAATAGTTAATAAATAGATATCCACTATTATTCTATCCGTTTATGTTATATTTAAATAATTATAAATAGAAAATTAATAAATTTGGATAAAAAATTTATTATCCGTGATGAATTAAAATAAAATATGGATAATATTTCCTAGATATCCAATATAAAAATTTGTTTAAATTTTAATAAATAATAATAAATATTCAAATTTGTATATGAATAAATTACCCTTTTACATATGTAAAATATATAAAATTTTATATTTGTAGAAAGTTTTAACCTTAAAAGATAATGTTTATATGTTTAACCTTAAAAATTTTGTCAAAAACGCCTTAAATAATCATTTGAAAAATCCTAAAAACACTAGAGAAAAGAATCAAACTTACAATCTTATGGTTAACAGGCATATGCTTTAACTGACTAAGCTATTCCAATGTTATTATTAAGGGATTATTCAATGTATTTTTGATCAAAAACACCTTCAACAATCCTATTCAATTTTTTGTATGGGATTATTTAAGGCATTTTTGGCCAAAAACGCCTTAAATAATAATAAAAAAATGGTAACAGATTATTCAAGGTGTTTTGGGCAAGAAATACCTTGAATAGCTCTATTTAATTTTTATGAAATGATTATTTAAAGCGTTTATTACAAAAAAATGCCTTAAATAATCCAAAAAAATATGACAGGGGATTATTCAAAGTATTTTTGACCAAAAATCTCTTGAATAATCCTCTTTAATAAGGGGATTACTTAAGGTATTTTTGACTAGAAACACCTTGAATAACTCCATTGAATTTTTTGTAAAAGATTATTGAAGGCATTTCTGGCAAAAAATGCCTTGAATAATCTAAGAAAAAATGGCGGGCTTATGAAATTAAATCATTTTCTTTACCTCAACCTCCTACCGACTCTACATACTTAATTTTCACCTCTTACCAACTCTCTCCACCTATCGGTACTTATAGCCTAATTTCCACTACCCACCAACTCTCTCCACCTCTTACCGACTTTACAAACTTAAAACCTATTGGCACCCATTTTGGTTCAGAGTTGAATTAAAGTTGAAGCATTAAGACTCTCGTAATTTCTTAAAGGTATTTTTGATTTTTTGTATTTTGATTTTGTATCGTCGAGCATGTTTTTTTTTGTATTTCGATTTTGTATCGTCGAGCATGTTTTTTTTTGTATTTTTGGCTATATTGGATGAATCTAAGCTCAGAATATATATAAAGGATTTAAGGTTCAGCCATTAGTGATAGCACCAGAAGGATTCTTTAATGCCAACTGGTTTACACAATTTGTACAAAAATCACCCAAATCTCTGCAAGTAGTGACTCAACACACTTACAATCTTGGTGTAGGTATAACAAAATAGTAAATTGCATTGTTTAAAAAATATTTCCTGAAATTCAGTAATTAAATTACATTTTTTCCTGTATATAGGTAATAATAATCAGCTTATGAACAAAATCCTAGATTCATCTTATCTAGATGGTGGGCAGTAACCCTTTAGAGACCTTCAAATAATTCTAAAGAATTCAGCAACTTTAAAAATTGCTTGGGTTGGTGAAGTAGAGGGAGCCTATAATAGTCGACAAAATCTTGTTAGCAATTCATTTATTTATAGATTCTGGTATGCTTGGCTTGACCTTATGAACATTTCCTATGTTAATTGACTTGTATAAGCTTAATTTGACATGGAATTCTTTATTGGGTTTTACTAATTAAACAGATATTCGGACCAACTTGGGATCGCATCATTTTACTTTGGGGAGTTGTTTATTTACTTCAAGCACCGTGTTTGTAGATATTCAATCATAGATATTAATGTTCTTTTTTTTTTTTCTAGATTTGGTACAATGATGTTAGTTTTTGACTTATTTTAAATTTGTAGATTATAAAACAGTTTGATTGTTGTTTTATTTCAAATGTTATTAAATATTTTTACTTTTTTTTGTATTTTAACTTTATATGAAACCATATCATATTATGATTATAAATAATTAATATCAAT